CAGATGGTTGGCGCCCTCTTTGCAGAACAGGAGAGATGGAGAAGCTTCCCTTCCACTCTCGTGGGGGAGAGGGAGTTAGGTGAGGACAGCTGGACCTCGAGGGTTAGTGAGGTGACAGGAGGACGAGGGCTGGGGAAACGGGGGACCGGCCCCTTAGGTCTGGTGGTTTCACCAAAGATGGCGTGCTGGTCTACACTGCGAGTCCTGGGCATACACCACTGTGGCCACCGAGGCAAGGGCCTGGCATCTGCAAAGACCAGGCACAAGGGTGGGAGGTCAGGCGGAAGAGGAGGCAGTCTTATCCCCAGGTCTGCATGATGCAGGCAGGAGGGGTGTCTGTAGGCTGGATCAGAAGCTCGGTCAGTCCCAGCAGGGGGAGTGAGACCCAGTGTGGAAGCAGGGGCCGACCGAAGCCCGGAGCAGCTCACCGGGGCCTTGTGTGGCCACTGCCCCTCTGCCTCTCCCAGCAGCTCGGCGGGTAGAAGGGCCTGGTGCTTCTGGGCTAGCTCTGGTGTGCAGAGCCTGGGGAGAGGTGGCCTCCCCCTCAGGGACATGTCTCAGCAAAGGGTCTTGCTTTGCAGGACCACCTTCAAGGACTTTGCTGACAAGTATGGCCGGGATCAGAGGTTCCGGCTTGTGCAGAAGAGGAAGGACCAGGAGCAGTTCTTCAACCAGTTCATACAGATGCTGAAGAAACGGGACAAAGAAAACAGACTGAGGCTGCGGAGGATGAGATGAGCCTGCGGCCACCCCCTGCGGTCACCACCCCCCCAAAAGGGCCTTGGGCCCGGACAGTCCAATTACTGTTTCATATTGAAGCTCTCTTTGTACAGCGTTCAGAGTCTGACACGTTCCTAATTGCCATGATACGTCGCTCCCTTAATTGTTTTAATTATGCAAATCACATGTAATATACACAAATGATACATCCACAGCAGGTTTGTAATTAAGCAAGCCCCCGCCGACTTCCACGATAGCGTCCCCGGGGTTTCCCACAGTGCCCCTCTCTGAGGTCTCTGAGAGCCCCTCTGTCCAGCAGCAGCTCTGTGGCAGGGAGGGGTGTCCCTGCCTTGGGCCAGCACCCGAGTCCTTGTGTAGGGCGCACATCACCAGCCATAGTGGCCACGCCCAACCTCTGGACACATTGACCACGAGGACCGCAAGTGAGCGCCAAGGCCTGGCTCCCCGGGGTGGGGGTGGGGGTGGGCACCTGGGCCTGCCGAGGGGCACCCGGCAGCGTGTCTGGAGATTCCACTTAAAAATAGAATTATTTTGTACAAATCATCGTGTTAATAGTTGAGTTATTTTTATCGTATGCCCAGAGTTTGCATGAGATTTTTCTCATCATCTTTGTATAAAAAAAAAAAGTTTTAAATTTTTTTTAATTAATAAATATTTTAAACCAAGGTGCTTTTTGTGGCTCTGACCAGGACACAGTCATAAGCAGGGAGGTCTTTCTCTGGAAGGTTCAGCCAGGAGAGCGCATGTCTGGAAAGGCTGCCCGGGGAGAAAGACGCCCTGCTGGGCGCAGTAGAAGGGTCAGCAGCTGGCTTCAACGATGACCAAGACGGCACGGACCTGGCCCTTCTTCCCTCTGTGGCTGGGCATGGAATGACCTTCACTCCGCAGGCCTTGTGACAGCTACAGATGGGCAGTCAGAGGATGCGTGAGAACCTCACCGACACTGAGCCAATGCCGACTCACAGCGAGCCTGCCGGACAGGGCCAGACTGCCTCATGGTTTCCGAGACTGTAACTCTTTAGGGGAGCAGAGAGCCCGGCCTGTCTCCCATGCACGAGGAAAGTCTGGTTACTGACGTGTGTCCTCGAAACAACTGAGGACCGATTGAATGGTTGCTGCCGCTGCCTTCTCCCGAGTCAGTCCGCAGATCGGCCCTTTGGCGCTCGCGCTGTGGTGAGATTGGGAAAGCCAGGGCCTCTGCCCCGGGAGGCAGCCTGGTCACAAAGTCAACGTTTCAGCCAATCGCCTCTGTGCTGGCTTGGTTCCAGGGCTTGCAGCACAGTCCATCGCAGTGTAGGTTCAGCACAGGGGACCCAACCGTCCACCCCTGGGCGAAAGATGAGGCTGTGTGTGCCCATAAAGATTTGTTGTCTTGGAAACCCTGGAATTAGTGTGTCTGTCTGAATCGGAATCAACTCAATGACCAATCCAAACCCAACTCGCTGCTGTCGGGTGGATGCCGATGCATGGTGACCCTGTAGGACAGGGTAGATCTTCCCTTGTGGGTTTCTGAGGCTGTCACTTAAAAAAAAAGTTTGTTTGTTTTAATCCAAAATGGGTCTGTTGGGCTGGCTTCTCACTCATCTGGATTCAGGATCTTTTCGGGATGCGTCCATCTGAAGGAGCATCCTTCTGTAAGCCTTGCTTGTCTTTCTGGGGGCTGACAGTGGACAGTGAAGCAGCCAACACACAAAACTACTGTTTGGGCGTGGCTGAAGAGCGGGGTGATTTAGAGCAGCCTGGGCGTTGGGCACCCCGGCAGGAGGGCGTGGGGCTCTGCACCAGGCGCTGCCCTGTGCTTCCTCTTCTCCTCTTCAGGAGCGGGATGGAGAAGATCCTTTTGAGAGGCACGATCACGTGGGGAGGTCGTCTCTCCCAGAAAGGCGAGACTATAACTCCTTAGGGGAACAGGAAGCCTCGTCTGTCTCCCGAGGAGTGGCTGATGCTTTTGAACCGCTGACCTTGTGGTTGGCACCACAACATGTACACCATTATGTCACCAGGGTTCCTAACTCCCTCCCTGCCACCGAGGTGATGCCGACTCACACCAACCCTCTGGGCCGGGGTAGGACTGCCCCTGTGGGTCTTGGAGACTATAACTCTCTATGGGAGTCAAAGGTCTCATGTTTCTCCCGAGGGGCGACGGGTGGTTTTGAACTCTTGATCTTGTGGCCAACAGCACAGCATGTAACCACAGTACCACCAGTGCTCCCAACTCACTGACAGGGGCCTCAAGAGTGTCACGAAAAGTTTCGTTATCTTTTCGTTCTTCTTCTCTGCAGACTTTTGGAAGCTCCCTGACGTGGGTGCGTGGGTCTCGGCCAGATGCTACTGTAATACTATCACTCGAGCACTCAGGTGGCTTACTGAGCGACTGCAGCCAGAGACCCAACAGCCCACTCTCACCTCTTGTTGACTGGAAAGGGTGTGGCCTCCCAAGAAGCCCCCAAGATGAGGCATTCTAGTTACATGGGGGGGCGCTGTGGGAGACCATCTCAGGGAATGTGTTGAGGTGGGGGGCCTTGCTTCTTAAACAACCCTGCATGAACTCTACTTCTCGCCAGCACCTCCTCACTCTGGGGTGGAATTGTCACCGGGCGCCCCGCCAGGTCCTCCAGTGTGGGCTTCACGTTCCCCCTGTCGTGTCTGCTCTGGACAGCTGGTGCGCTGCTTTGTGGAGGCCCTCAGCAGGAGTACCCCTGCTCACTGGGCAATCCTCCCCTGCTTCCGTCGGGGCTTCTGATCACCTGTTCCGCTCCTGGAGAGAGTTCCAGTCTCAGAAACCCACAGGGGAAGCTCTACCCTGACCAGGGGCCGCCGTGGTAGTGGGAGGTGAGAGTGAGCGGAGTCGGGGTGTGCTGGAGCTGGGGCTGTGCTGACACTGGATGCAGAATTCTGCCCCTCCATCAGGCGGACCCAGGGGCCGTTCTGAAGGACAGTAGTTGGCAGACACACTCCCAGTTGGAAGCATTTAAGGCTAACAAGACAACAGTGCTGTAAACTGTGGTTGCTCTGTGATGGGAAAGGGTCAAAGGGGTGAATTTACACGGCGTTGTAGGCTAGAGTGGTCCACCTGTTCAGAGACTCGGGAAGCCCAAGATTGGGGTGTAGATGATGGAGAGGAATAGGGGGATGCCATAATCAGCACCGCGGGCCAGGGTGTTCATCTCCGTGCACCTGAGGCTTTCACACCTCGGTGGGCAAGCTTTCGTGTGATGGACAGGGCTGTGGACAGCAGCCGGCCCCTCTCTCGGGCATCCCTGGTCCTTGCTCCATGAGCAGATGAGCAAAATGGCCACAGGTTCCCAACAAGGCCAGTCTGCCAAGTCTGTCGGAGGCCAGCGCTGGGTTCCCATTGCGTGAGATTCCCTCTCTAGGCCGGCCACATCAGAGCCCTCTCATTGTTGATGGGACAGTTTCTCTCCACAGAAACGTATGTCTCCTTCATGGAAATGTTTCCGCCGTCGTCACATCCATGTTGTCATAAACAGGCTGACCCCTAACGTGTCAGACTGGGTTTTCTAGAGAAGTAACATCAGTGAATATTCATTCATTCCTTTGTTTGCCCATTTACTGATATCGAGAAAGTGGCTCAACTGGTGCCACACGCAGTGATGCAGTTAGATCCAGTCTGGTTCAAGTCCATGGATCAGATATTAAGGTGGAAGCTTATCTGGATTCGAGATGCTTCCAGGGCTGATGAACCTGGAAGCACCAAGACCACAGGCCGGGGGAGGCAGCAGCTGATGAATCCAAGGTCACTGGTCAGGTGGCAGGCTCTGATGGCTCTCGAGGCCAGCAGGCAATATGGTGGGCCATTGGCACAAGGTTGACGAGCCAGCTACAGGGTCCAGGCTAGCAGTAAGGGAGTAAGGTCCCTACAACATCTGCTTCCATAGGAGTATGCCATCCCCCCGGGAAACTTCCTTCCAAACCATACTGCACCCTGGCCTTCCAATCTCTTGGTTGCTCACAGCAGATCCCATCATGGGATTGATTAGTTAGCCCACATCATGGGGGAGGGCTCAACTGCCCGGATACTGAAAATCCTGGCCAGCCAAGTTGACACAAAACATAACTCTCACGCCCTTATAATGTGTCTCTGAGCCAAGGCATTGATTTCGAGGGTAGGTGATTGTACTTTGGGGATCACACCCATCAATTCGGTGGCATCGCCATGTGGCCTACTATTCCAAAATATCACTCTCAACACTTAGCACTGGCCAATGGCAAAGAGTTCCTGAAAAAAAAAAATTCCATTATCTTTGAATTCCACCTTTTCCATGAACTTTTTGAGACCCGCATGTATCTATCCATCCATCATCTCTCCATCTATCAATTTGTAAGCTATCGTCTATCAACGAACACAGAGCTAACACATCGATCAAGTGTGGCCAGCAGATCCTCAGGGGGAAAGCGATCTGGGAGAAGCCGACTGCCTGTGTGCGGGAGACTTCACGTAGCTGCCTGGAAGACTGTTGACATCGCTCACCCTCCTTAGTCTTTTGAATATATTTTTATACATTTAAAAACGTACAGTGGTCCAATGGGGTGTTTGAGGTTTCTTTTTAACTATCGAGTCTTCCAATTGTCACACGGGCCATTGTCATCTTAAGGGTTGTTCCAGCAGCTCGACAGTAACCGCTCGGCTGTGTCTCGGGGATGGTGAGCAGGAATTAGAAGTCCGTGTTCCACGGGGAGGACTGTCAGTTCACACTCACTCAGGCCGAGGACACACACGAATGCTGGAAAGAGGACACATCATGTGCTCGCTGGATTACAACTATCCTGTGATGCTCCAGAGGCCAATAGCCCTACAGCCTGCCTTTGGTCTGGGTCCCACCTTCCACCCCAACCTGCAGGGTGCTGGGCCCTAGGTAATCTTCTCCCTCCCCTCTGCCACACATCCCCCAGCCAAGCTTGCCTCTGGGCTGTGCCCAGTCCTGCTCCAGCTCCGGCACCTCCCATTGGGCTCTGGGCCTGGGCTTGAGGTTCTCTGACCTCCGTGTCAGTGAGGATGAGTTTCTTGTCCTCTCTCAGCCGAGGGGCTTCGGCTCCCGACCGAGGACGCCAGAGGGGTCATTTGCTTGTACCTTGGAGCTTCTTGCCCGAGGGTAACGGTGCCTCAGAGAGCGCAGCCCCTTTGCTCTCTCCCAGGGAAGTCTCCCACCCTATGGGGGTCCTCAAAGGTTGGAGAGAACCCATGGTACCATGTGGTAGGGCTCTGGAAGGAACCGTGATCAGAACGGGCCTGTGCAATGTTTGCTGGTTCAGAGAGGAGGGACAGGCCACACTGCCTGCATGTCCCCTCATCCTCTCTCTCTCTCTCTCTCTTTCTTGACAAATTGGGGGGGGGGGGGCGTGGTGTCTTACAGCTCTTATAACCATCCATACATCACTTGTATCAAACACATTTGTACATATGTTGCCATCATCATTTTCAAAACATTTTTTTCCTGCTTGAGCCCTGGGTATCAGCTCCTCTTTTTCCCCTCCCTCCCTGGTGACTCCCCTCCTCCTTTCGGTGGACAGTTAGAATCAATTTCCTAACCTCCCTGTGTGAGACGCTCT